AGGTCCGACCTGACCTGACCTGACTGCCCAGGGACCATGTCCCCCTCAGGCTCCCTCCGGGGCCAGGCCCCTCTCACTTGTGGTCTCAGCGCTGCTGGCCGGTGCCCTGGCTGTGGCCAGGCCCCACTCACACCAACACCCCCCGCCTCCTGCTTGCCTGCCTGGGTGACCGCAGGCAGACCCCAGACGGCCCCAGGCCCACCCCCCGGCTCCCAGCCCTGCATCTTTTCGTGTGTTCACGTTTTGATGGGGGACCTAAGAGCTGGGAAATTTTAGTTTCAGGCGATAGCTCATAAGCTTAGTAGTCAATGCCTGTAAAAGCTTTGTTCCAGGAACTGTGGGCAGGAGACCCTGACTCTGGGAGACCCCCAGCAGCTCCACCTGTGTCCCTCGGGAGGACGGCCAGCCACTCCAGACCTAATCTGAGCCGCTGTGCTCCGGGGTGAGGTGTCACCACCCAGGACACAGCTGAGACCACCGCCCAGGGCGAGAACGCTGAGGTCGGTTTTTAATCCAGTCAACATTCCCCTGAATTCCAAAACCCCTCCCCACACCTGGTTTACTCCCTGCTGTTAAAGCCTTGGCCTGGAAAGAAAAGATGAGATGGTCTGTTAGGGTGTGAACCCGCCATCTTCTCAGACTGCCGGCCATCTGAGTCAAGTCCCCGTAAAGAATCAATCGGCCCTGGCTGGCGTAGCTCAGTGGATTGAGCGCGGGCTGCGAACCAAAGCATCACAGGTTCGATTCCCAGTCAGGGCACATGCCTGGGTTGCAGGCCATAACCCCCAGCAACTGCACATGGATGTTTCTCTCTCTCTTTCTCCCTCCCTTCCCTCTCCAAAAATAAATAAATAAAATCTTTAAAAAAAAAAGAATCAATTGCTGTCTCTGCTTATCGGGTTTGGCGGTGACAGGCAGCATGAATGCCAGCTTTTCCGGCTTCACATTTAATTTAAAAAATCTGAATAAAGACAAATGTTTTCTAACTTGTTCATTTTACTTCATCATTATTTTATAAAAATGTTACATGTATTAATCTCTTCTATGTAGAGTTTTTTTCCTAGCGTTTTAAAGGACCCAGTTTGTTAATTTCGTGAGGAAAAGGGGTCACACACGGAGCCTGGCAGTCGGGGGGAGGCCTGGGGGGCGGACGGACGGACTCCGAGACCCACGGCGACCACAGAGGACGGTCTGAGAGGAGAACTCCCCGGCTCAAAGCCGGTTCCGGCAGACGGTGTCCTAGGCCAGCATCTTCCCCGATGGAGGTCAGTCTTCGCCGTAACGGAGCCCGTCTGCCGTCTCTTTGGAGGGTCAGGTGGCGTTCCTGTTTCTGGAGCCCTCCGGCACCGCCAGTGCGCCGGCGCTGAGACGGCAAACCCCTCATTGCTAGGGTTGGTGTTGTGTTAACGGTTGGTTGTTAGCAAGTCCCCCACCTGTGTAAAAAAGAAGTGTGTGCCTGTCCAATCCCAGGACTGCCCGTAGCAGGGTGCAGCCAAGGGCAGGCAAAGAGGGATTTGGAATGGGGTCCAGAACTCGGTGTCCAGGAAACATTAGAACTATATATATATTCTATACATATAGGATGTCCTCACCCCCACAGATCTGAGCTGGGGGAAGGGACGCATGGAGCAGGGCCACTGAGAGTTGTTTTGCATAGCAGCAGTTTTCCAGATAACCTCTAGGACGGTCATTTAACGTATCTATAACCTTTAACTGGTTTCATGGGTATGTGAAACGGCTGTGGCCACGCTTTGAACTGGGGGGATGGGAGTGACTTCAACCCAGGATGTAACTGGGAGGCAACTCCCCCTGGTTACAGCGCCTGCGTGAGAGCTTGGAGCTGATTGGCTCCACACCACAGGGCCACGCCTGCCCAGAATTACTATGGCAACCCAATAAAGCTGGAAAAATGCCGGAATGCTGGCAGCTGTGGCCAATTATGGGCGGAGTTGGAAATGGTGCGGCAGAGGAAGATTGGAGCTGGGGTTTAAACCCAGGCACGGCAACCAGTGGGGGTCCATTTGAGACCACGTGGCTTGGGCAGAGAAGAACCATGGACTTCTATTTCTTTTTCTGAGATATCAGTACCCTGGACTGAGGGAAGGAAGGACTGTGTGTTTGTGGGTATTCTAAAGGACTTTGGGGTCTCAGTGAAGACATTAAGTCATTACTCTTGAGTCTGTATAATGCTTTAAATAAATAACCCCTTTCCTTTTCACCAACCTCTGGTGTTGAGAGACGTCCTTCCCTGGTGGTGGGCAAGGCGGACCTAGAACGGGGGGGGGTCCCCCAGAGCGCAAGGGTGGGACCACTTGGTAATAGTATATCATTCTCCCCGCCCCCGGTCTGTTCTGTGACACCCCTGCTTTGCTTCCCAACCCCCCACCTTTCACCGATAGATTTCACGTAACCCCCCTTCTGTCTCTTCTTTGGATTGTAACGTGTAGAATAAGCTGCAAAACTGCCATGTTTCTGGGACATTTTCTCAATCCCTTGAGGTTTTGCTTCCTGGCAACTGTCGGTTTGGCTCAAACAAACTCCTGAAAATTCTTCTAGGTTTGGACGTTTCTTTTCTTTTTTTAAAGGTTTCATTTATTTATTTTTAGAGAGGGAAGGGAGGGAGAAAGAGAGAGAGAGAAACATCAATGTGCGGTTGCTGGGGGCCGTGGCCTGCAACCCAGGCATGTGCCCTGACTGGGAATCGAACCTGCGACACTTTGGTTCGCAGCCCGCGCTCAATCCACTGAGCTACACCAGCCAGGGCTTGGACGTTTCTTATGTTGACAATTTTACATGTTTTTTTTTTTAATGCATTTAAGAAAACTCAGGTCACTGAGTTTCCTCCCCCACTTCTCACTTTTCCTTGGACCCCCCGCTCTGAGTGGGGTCCCCAGTCTTCTCCTGGGCAGCCAGCACACCATCTGCTAAAACCTCCCCACCCGCCACCTCCCACCTCCCAAAGGCAGGTGTCCAGTGGCCTCAGCCTCCCGTGGGGCCCTCGCAGGATGGAGTTTGCTGGGACCTGTCAGCGCAAGAGTGTCCAGACCTGTGGAGGGTCCTTTCAAAAGTTTATCTGAGCCAAAGAGAGCAAGATCGAGATGAACGCTTCAGAGAATAACACCTTGCAGTTTTTAAAGGTGCCTTTTAGGCTCAGGTGGGAACTAAGGGAGACTGCAGGGGAGGGGGAGGCGGCAAGGCGGAAGGGTCAGGGCGGGGCAGGAGGACGTGCTCTCCCGTCCGCCCCCGGAGGAGGAGGGGCAGAGAGGGGCAGTTCAGGGGTGCGCACACCCAGACCCACCGCGACGACCGGCAGGGCGGGCCCAAAGCCTTTCAGATGGGAGCTGCCTGCTGGGGTGCAACGCCCTGCAGGACCTGCCCGGCCAGGAACTCACCATCAGGTGGCCCTGTGAGCTGACTTTCCCTAGAGCCCCTTCTTCGTCCACGGACCTGTGGGGGTTCTGCCTGGGGAGGGAAACCCAGGTGGCAAAAGGAAACATTTCCAATTAAACATTTCTGGGCAAACGCCTGTAGAGACTCAGAGGACTTGTAAACTTCCCGTTTGGGTGAGCCTAGCAGGTCGCAGTGGAAGAGAACACCCAGAAATCCATTGTGTGTGTATGTACTAGCAGTAACCAAGCCAACGAAATACGACAATGATGCTAATTACAGTGACATTAAGATAGGAACATCGAGGGTCACGTCTGCCAGCCAATGTTTCCACGGCAGAACGCTGCTGGGAGAAACCGGAACACATCTGGCCCAGGGAGAGGCCCCCTGGCAGGCTGGGTGTTGGCAGCTTCCCCAGCAAAGGGGTCTGAGGGGCTGGGCCGGGTCTGGAGAGGACGGTGCGGGGTGGGGACACCATGGGGACTTGCCACCTGTGTGCTGTGGGACACCTGCTTTTTGAGCGTTCCCTGCCGTCCCCACCTGCTGTGACAGGGAGGTGTCCGGCGCACACTGGCTGAATAAATGAGAATGAGAACCCTGGGTCCAGCGGAGGGAGAGGCCAGCGCCGAGGCCTCCGGAAAGAAACTAAGTGCGTGTCCTTGTCAGGACGGGAAACGAGGACCCCAGGGGTAGGACAGGGGGACGGCTCCGTCAGAGCCGCGGCCGCAGGGGCCCATGGCCCTGGGTTTGGCAGGGACCCAAAGGCAGGCAGGGGACAGGGGCTCCAGGTGCGCCCCAGGTGCGCCCCGAGGGCGGCGGGGCCCGCGGAGCCTGGGCCGGGGAACCTCGGAGGGGTCAGGGCGCGCTCTGGCCTTCCCCGGTGGGCCCCGGGCTGGGAGCGGGGACGACCCGGGGAAGCTGTCAGGTGCTGATGGCTCCCTGGCCGTGGGGGGCTGACGGCCACAGGGGTGTGGTGGGGCTGCCGGTCGCTGGGGACCCTGGGCTGCCTCCCGCGAGTCTGACTGGCAGCTGGCCGCCTCCCGGCCGCCCCCGCGGGTGCGGGGCTGGCCTCCGGGGCCGGTGGCCGCGGGCAGGGTCGCAGTTGTCACGGATGGCCTGGCCTGCTCTGGCTCCTTGCGGGCCACCGACAAGCCCCTGGGCCCTCTCCCGCACTGTCTACCGCGTTTGAGGGGGACAGCAAGCCCTCGGGCAACAGGACAGATGGCCCGTTGCGGGCCTCGGAGTCCTCTCCGCGAGCGCACGTCTCCCCGCAGGACACGCCCGTCCCCGCTCCGCCCCGCAGGGCTCCCGAGCCGGTCGGACCCGCGGGGTCCTTTTCCCACCACCAGTGCCCGCCCCCAGTGGCCTAGGCCCCGCCCCTCGCCCCAGGACACGGCCCCACCCCGCGCCTGCGTAAACCAGCCCTGCTCGTCAGAGCCCGCCCCGTGCTCCAGCGACTCGCTCCTAACAGCCCAGCTGCGCACGCGCGCCCCGAGCCTCCGCCGACGCCTCGGACCCACCCCGCGCACGCGCTGCACGCGCCGCACGCGCCCCGCGCGCCCCACGCCCCCGCGCACGCCCAGGCCTCCCCCCGCGGCCAATAGGCGCCGCCGCCGCCGCGCCTCCGCTTATCTGCCGAGCGTGGGCCGGCGAGCGTCAGTCGGTCGGGGCCCTGGGCTGACGTCGTTGGTCGTGCTGGGCCCCGAGCTTGCGCCCCAGCTCCCGCCCGTCCTCTTCCGAGCGCCCCGCACTTGGGCAGCCCCGGCCCGCCGCCGCAGCGCCCTCCCTCCGGCGCCATGTCGCAGAGCGGGACCCCCGGAATGCAGGAGGAGAGCCTGCACGGTGAGCCGCCGGGGCCGCGGAGGCCGAGGGGAGGCCGCCGGGGGACAGGCCCCGGCGAGGCGCGGGGGCCAAGGCTGCGCCTGCGCGGCGGGCACGGGGCCTCTCGCCGCCCGCGGCCGGGGGTCGGCGCTGGGGGCCGGGCGTGGCTCCCCGGCGGGGGTCTGGTCGCGGGCCGGACCCTCCCCCGCCCCCCCCACCGCCCAAGCCCGAGCTCTGCGGCCCAGGGGCGCTGGCGCGTTGCTGCAAGGCCGTGTTTACGCTCGCGCCCCGCAGCTCGGAGCGGCGTGGGTGGGACGCGCAGAAGCCGAGCGTTCGGCTGAGCCGCCCGGGCCCTACGTGTGAACCGGGAGCAGATCTGCCCGTAGCGGCGGAAAGACGCAGCCGGGCGCCCGGCCACGGGCTGCTCCTCTCGGCGTGAGACGCGGACAGCCTTAAAAAAAAAAAAAAAAGGCCTCCTCGAGTTCCCGCCGCACTTGCCCGAGAGCGCCGTCCCACAGCCAGGCTGCGAACCGACCTGGGGGCTCAGAGCAGGCGGGGGAGGGGGCGCCCCGCGCCCGCCTGCAGGTCGGCCCGTCTGGGTCCCGCGGGCCCGTTGGGGATGCGGGGGGCCCGGGGGTGGCGGGAGGGCCCCGGGGACGCCCACCCTCCGGTTTCTGCGGCAGGAGTTGGCTCCGCGAAGGGTGGGCGGCGCGGCCCGGGAGGGCTGCTCGGACGCCCAGGGCGGGCGTGCACCCCTCACAGCGAAGGCGGGGAGTGGGCTTCCCTGGCCCGGTGCGCGGTCAGCCCGTGTGGAGTTGGCTGCAGCGCACTTCGTAAAATCCGGCGGTCTCCGCGAGATTTGAACTTGACTATCTTGCTTGAATTGGGTTAAGGGGTTAATCTTTGTTGTTTTTTGTTTATTTGTTTGTTTTTCCACAAAAGAGTCAAGGGGCGTGTATAAACTCTGTGCCTGCGAGCCGCCCCCTTTTCCAGTGCTCGAGCTGCTTGCTTGCTCGCCCTGTTTCCCGGGCGCGGGTCGCGCCTGGAAGGGTCGGTGCGCTCCGAGGGGCTCGGGGCCCCCTCCCCGACCGACACCGAACTGCTGAGTCACCAGCGATGCGAAACCCCGCACGGGAAGCCCGGCCTTCGCGTCTGGACCCCTCCACAGCAGAGCGTGGGAGCGGGCTCGGCGCCCCTCGTGCGGACGTGCGCCGGGGCACTCGCCGCTCGGGGCTGGGCGGAGCCCGGCAGCTGCCCTGGAAACGTGAGCCCGCGCCTGGCCTCCGCGCGGTTCCCTCTTGTTTACGTCTGGCCCGAACCCTCAGCGGCCCCGCGTGCCACTGCTGTGCCGGCTGGGCCCCCAGGCCCCGCCCCTCGCTCCAGCGAGAGCTGCTGACCCGCCGGTGCTCCGCAGGCCCTTTGCTGCGCAGCGGGATGGGGTTCCCTGCTGGGGCGGGGAGGCGCACGGCCTCCTTTCCAGGAGGTCCCTTCCCAGGCAGGCACGCACTGGGGTCTGCCGCGGGAGAGGCTGGAGCTGCTGGGCACCTGCACTCCTGAGCCCCGTGGGGAGGCGGGCTGGCCTCGGTCTCCTCGGTGTGAAGGACAGGCAGGTGAGGGGATGGCAGCGGCGGGGTGGGCAGCACCCGTGTCTCCCCCAGGCCTGGCTCTGCCACTGTGTTTGGCGGATTGTCGGCGACCCGAGGACCTTCTCTAGGTTACGAAGCAGCCGTAATCCCGTTCCTTGCACGGGGTAAGGACGCCCACAGCCTGCCTTCTTCCGTTTCCAGGAAGCGGTTTCCTGCCCGGGCGTTGCGGGTTAATAATAACCTTCGTTAAATCACTCTCCGGCACACAGATTTTGGACCCAAGCTTTTGCTGCAGGCGGTCCAGAAGGCGATGGTTTTTTCTTCCGCAAGGATGCTTAGGACTTGCTGAGGGATGATCGTAAAGAGCACGTACTTGTCTCCGAGGAGCCTGGGGTTGCTCCTTGAGGTGGCCCAAAGCACGTGCGCCCCTGAGGCTGACGCCACGACGTCCTGTCTCGTTTCTCTCGGAGGTTGTGTGCAGTGTTGTCTTAGTTTCGGGGCAGAGCTCCAAACACCCCCGCCCCAGGGTTCCTCGGATGTGAGGGGTGTGCTGCTGTTGTCGAGGAGCCCAGGACCCCGGGAAGGGTGGGAGCCAGGCTGGCTGGGGGGTGGGAGCGGAGCCCCGCCTCCTGCGGGCGGAGGTTGGGCTGGGAGACCTTTGCGCTGCAGGGCGTTGTGGGGGGGGGCGGGGGGCCTGTGCCTCCCTGCACCTCCCTGCACCTCCCTGCACCTCCCTGCACCTCCCCGTCTGAGCGCCGTCCTCTCTGGTAGGTGGGTGAACGGGAGCACTTCTGTGAGCAAGGTAGGTGTCGCGGGAACCTGGAATCTGCCATCTGCCAGACAGAGGTGTGGGGGCGTGGAGACCCCATTGGGGCCTGGCCCCTGGCACCTGATGCCAGCGGCCGCGTGGGGCTGAGCCCGCTATGTCGCCTGACGCCAGCTCCAGGCCGTGGTGGGACAGCCAGGTGGGGCCGGAGAATCGGTGACTGGTGTGGGAGCCCCCACTCGTGTCGGAAGTGGTGCCGAGAAGACACCACACGCCTCAGACTCCATCTGCATCAGACACCCTACGTGACCCAGGCCACACTTCAGCTGGCACCGGGGAATGGAGCCAGGCCCGGAGTCCGAGTGACTGGCCGAGCCTGGAGAAGTGGACCTGTGCCCGGTGCGGGGCCCGGGCACTGCCCTGTGCCACAGGCCAGAGCTGGCGTGCTGGTTGGCTGAGTGTGACCTTGAGTCCCAGGGGAGGGAGGGGGGCTGGTGGAGGGAAGACCCGAGGCCCAGGTTTTCATGATGCCGTGGGGGGACCGGGGGAGGGCATCAGAGCCCTTGGAAGAGGGCCAGCAGCCTGGTGAGGACGGACGAGCCGCCTCTGGCCTCGGGCCTGGGGCCGAGGGGCAGCCACTGCAGCTTCTGCTCCCAGGCAGAGCCCGAGGGGGCCAAGCGGACAGGAGGCGCTGGGAGAGGCTGGCGAGGAGGGGGGGGTGTGGGCTGGAGAGCCTGCCCGGTGGTCTCAGCGGCAGCGAAGGGGAGGTGGGCGCGCAGCCCCTGAGCCTGGGTGTGCCGGTTTCTCACGGGCACGCCGAGGCTGTGTGGTTAGGACAGCGACCCCTGGCGTGCGGGCAGCGGAGCTGCAGCGGGTGCTGCAGCTGCGCCTCGGTGCGCACACACTGGTGCCCTCAGGGCCGCTGCTCTGCCCCCTCCTCTGGGGGTGGCGGCGTCTCCCTGGAGCGCGAGCGTTTCAGTCTGCAGTCGCCTCCGCCCTGTGCTGGCTGCACCCGTCCTCCGCACGCCACCGCGGGGATGGCTGTGCTGGGGGCCCCCGGTCCAGGGCCACGCCCGGGGGCGCTGCCAGCGGGGTGGCTGCCAGGAAGCAGCCCAGAGGCTGCTGTCCGTGAGTGGAAGGACGGCCTGGGGGGCGGGGGTCAGGTCATCGCAGGGGCGGATTACATCCGGCTCCCCGCACCCGGTCGGGGGAGTTAGCTGTAATGGAAGAGGGTCGGCGGCTCGAAGGGCTCACTAGAAAGCTGCTGTCTAAAGGGCCAGCGACCACAAAAACATGATGGACCTTGTTCCAGCCCGGAGACATGCACAGTAACCCCCGCCACGGCCCAGTGTAAACCCGTTGAGGTCGCCTTGGGGGCGACTGCTGCCGGACCACTCCCGAGACCGTGCGGCCCTGGAGCCCTGAACGCTCGCGCCCACCTCGCAGCCCGGGGCCCCGCCCGGGCAGGTCTGCAGCGGGGACCCCGCGGCATCCGTGGGAGCGCTCCTCAGAGCTGCCCACGCTGGGCACACACCAGGCGGGTCGGGGTGGGCGGTCGACGGCGAGGCTGTGCCGTGGGGTTCTGCATGCGACCGCCACGTGCTCGCGTCCACACCCACGTGGCGGCCCCCCCTCTGTGCAAACCCCCGGGTGGCTGCTGGGCCCCGACCCCCTGCCATCGCTTGCGGTGTCTTCGCTGCTGCTGCCGAGTGGGGCCTCCCGGCAGCACCCGCAGGCCGGCTCTGCCGGGGCCCTCGGCACTCCTGCTGTGGGCCGGGCCGAGTCCTCCCATCTTTCGGCTCTCTCCCCCTCGTCAGTGCCCCGCCTGCCCCCCACATGTGTTCAGGAACAGCCGACAGCCCCCCCGGGCCCTGCCTCCTGGCCCCCTGTCCACTGAGGCCGCCTTGGTGTGGGGCTCTGCCCGCCCTGGGGGGCAGCACTGGGCTGTGAGAGGCGGGGCCCCCGCCGGAGGGGGTGGGGGCTGCTGCGGTTACATTCTGACGAGCAGGTGACCGCTGGCTACGAGACACCAGTTCTCCCACCCTGTGGACCCTGGGTAGCATCCGTGTGGGGCTTCAATTCGAGCTGAGCCACCCCCACGCGGACTCGGGGCGTGAGGGGCGGCCTGCTCTGCTGTGTCCGGGCTGGTCAGAGGTCACCGCTGCTGCGGCCGCAGTCTCCCTCCGGCTTCTGATGGGGCTGAGCACAAAGCAGCAGCCGCCAGCGGCTCTGGGGCCTGCCTGAGGGGGTGGGGCTGCCCTGCTGGCAGGTGGCGTGGGCTGACCACAGACGGCTTACATTTCACAATTTCTAGAATCTCTTAACCTTTTGACGGCTTTTTTTCTTCTAAAAGTTGAGTGCAAAAAAGCACCCAGGTGGCTCTGACTGGTGTGGCTCAGAGGGTTGGGCATCACCCCACAGGGTGGAAGGTTGTGGGTTCGATTCCCCGTCAGGCACAGGCCTGGGCTGAGGTTTCGTCCCTGGCCGGGGCCCGTGGGGAGGCGGTGGGTCGATGCTCTCTGCCAGCGCCGCTCCCCGTCTCTCCCCTTCCCCCTCGGTCACGTCTCGGAGCGCTCAGGCCGTCTGCACGCTGCTGGCTGCGCACAGGTCCTGGCCCGGTGGCTGCCCCCTCCTCGGGAGGGCTAGGCCAGGCCAGGCCAGTGGCTGCCGCTGCTGGAGCCAGGGGTGGGGGTGGCTCACGGCCACGGTTCTCGCGTGGCCCCAGCCCCTCAGAACTGGAGGGAACCCCAACCCCACCCCGCTGTCCCCTCAGGCTCCTGGGTGGAGCTGCACTTCAGCAGCAATGGCAGCAACGGCAGCGGGGGCGGCGTGCCCGCCTCGGTCTCCCTCTACAACGGGGACATGGAGAAGATCCTGCTGGATGCCCAGCACGAGTCTGGGCGGAGCAGCTCCAAGAGCTCGCACTGCGACAGGTGGGTGCGCGGGTGCTCGCGTGTGTGCGTGTGGCCGTGCGGCAGCCGGGGGCCGACACCGCCCTGTGCCCCCAACCTGGGAGTATACTGCCCCCGGCTCTCCCTGGCCCCCCACGACTGGCCTGGTGCTGGGGGGAGGGCAGCTGCCCCCACTGGACGGGCCCCTGCCCGTGGGCCTTCGCTGCCCCCGACGGAGAGGGTGCCGACGAGTCCCGCTCTCCTTCCCCCGTCCCTAGCCCGCCTCGCTCCCAGACCCCACAGGACACGAACCGCGTGTCGGAGACGGACAGCCACAGCACGGGGGAGAAGAACAGCTCTCAGGTAGGGCGGCCCGGGGGTGTGGGGTGCTGCCGCGGCAGCCTGGCTACAGGGCCATCTGGCTCTGAGGGGGTCTGTCGCCCTCTCGCTGGGGGGAGGGGGGGGCGGCGGGATGAAAGCACCCCCCTCAGGGGCCGATGCCGAGCCAAGCAGAGGGGTGTGGGCTTAGGCCGTGCGCTCCGCTGTTGAGGGGGCAGAGTCGGGGGCTGCCGGGCGGCCTCTCAGCCCAGGGCGCAGAGGCCAGCACCCCGTGTGTCTGCTGCGGCCGGTGCCGTGTGCAGGCAGTGCCGCCGGGCCCTTCTTGGCCAGCGCTCGGTCCTCCCCCTGCCGGGCCGGTCTCCCTCGGGAGGGCGGAGGGGCCCTCGCCCCTCCAGGCCCCGTCGTCCCTGCAGGCCCCATTGGCACGCACGGCGTCTGGACCCAGCGGGGACGCCCGCCGGCTCTCGGGCCACGCCCTGCTGCCGGGCGCTTCCGCCCCGTGTTCTGGGGCGGCACTAGGATGTTGGATATTCTTTCCCCAGAGTTTAAAATCGAATTTTATCGCGGGCACGGAATTTTTAAGTGCAAAAAAATCACCTGTGGTCCTACTTTTTAGAGTCCCTCCTAAGTGGCGTGGGTGTGTTAGTTATGTAACTTGTAATGGAGCTGGACTTCTGGACTTGCCCCACGCCCGTTCCGAGGAGCTTTCGGCCGTGCTGCGCGCTCTGTGGCTCTGGCTCTGAGCTGCCGCCCGGCCCGTGTGCTGCAGCCAGCACCGCCGCAGGGTCTCTGTGGACGTCTCTGTCCGCCCCTCGCGCTCCTCCCCAGGGGCGGCGTTTGCCGGGTCTCACGGTTGGGGCTTGACGCAGGGGTCTGTCTGTCTGGCCTGCCCGGCCCCAAAGACTGGCCGTGGCCTCGGGCTCTGAGCGCTGCCTCTGGCCCGACACCGGGTGGGAGGCGGCGCTCCTGGTGTGGGTGCGAGGGCCCCTGCCTTTAACCCCCCCCCCACCCCCCGCAGTCCGAGGAAGACTACATGGAGAGGAGGCGGGAAGTGGAGAGCATCCTGAAGAAGAACTCGGACTGGATCTGGGACTGGTCGAGTCGGCCGGAGAACATTCCCCCCAAGTGAGTCCGCTTCGGGCGCCCCGGGGTCTCCAGGACGCGGCGCGGGCTGGTGGGCTCACGGCTCCCCCTCCGGCTCCCCCTCCGCAGGGAGTTCCTGTTCCGGCACCCCAAGCGCACGGCCACCCTCAGCATGCGGAACACGAGCGTCATGAAGAAGGGCGGCGTCTTCTCGGCCGAGTTCCTCAAGGTCTTCCTGCCGTCCCTACTGCTCTCGCACCTGCTGGCCATCGGGCTGGGGTGAGTGACCCCGGGCCGGGGCAGTCGCGGGTCTCGGTGACTTCGCCCGAGACACCTCACTGAAATCATAGGCCGTTAAGTCCCAGCTTACGTAACAGCGTGTAAGCAAACATGCCCATGTGGCCACCGTCCAGGTCGGGAAACAGACATGACTGTGACCCCGTGGCCCGGCCCAGACGCTGCCAGCCCTGGCGAGGGCACTCGGGGCCGGGTGGGGGGGGAGACGAGTGCTCCCTGCCTGTGCTCGGTGCCAGTGCAGGCAGGTCCCTCCCCCCGGTGCCTGCCGTGAGCAGAGAGGTGCCATCACCACATTGCCTGCGGGTCCCGCAGCAGGGGCGGCGGGGCTCCTCCCAGTGTCGATGTGGGAGCACCCGAGTGCAGTGCTGCAGTGGGCCTCACGGCCTCGGGCCCAGACGGGGCCGCAGCACCCAGGCCTCCGTCTTTGGAGCCAGGGCTGCCCTTCCCTCCGGCTCACCCAGTGCGGTCGTGGGGCGTGAGGGGGGGCCTCGCTGCCCCTCGCCGGGCGGCGGTGTTCTGAGGCCGTAGCTTGCTGGGCAGACTGGGTGGGCAAGACGGCTTGGGGTTCCGGCTGGTGCCGCTGGGCGGGAGGTGAGAGCGGGCTGCTTCCACTGACCTCTGACCCCAGACTGCGGCTCTGACCGCTGTGGAACAGCTGGCCGGGTTGCGGGGGGCTCCTCCACGTCAGTGTCCAGACCGGTTGTGGCCGGGGCTCCTCAGGGCCACGCTCACCTCCCGGAGAGCTCTGGGTCTTTCCCCAGGACCAGCTGCTCGGGCTCCGGGGGCGACGACGTCCGGCAGGCTGCAGCCGCACGGTGGCCACGTCCGGCTGGGGCGTCTCCTCCTGGGCGGGGCGCCGCGCTGCAGGGCACGTGCAGTGGGAAGAGAAGCCCAGGCGGTAACGGTGCGCCCGCCTGGGTCGTGGAGCCCCAGGCCCACTCACCGCCTGCTGCTCTCTCTCGCCCAGGATCTACATCGGGCGACGGCTGACCACCTCCACCGGCACCTTCTGACACGCAGCTGGGACGGCGGCTTCCCCCAGGGGAGCGGGGCTCCTGCCGGGGCCCGGCCGGCGGAGGCGCTGCTGCCCTGGTCCCCGGGGGCTGGCCGCCCCGCGGGTCTGCTGTGTAAATGCTGCGTGCCTGGTTTCTCGAGGGGGGGGCTGCGCTGTGGGCCTGCCCCCCGGGCCCGCGGAGCGGCCAGCGAGCATGACGCGCTCACCCTGCCGGAATGACGTGGTGGCGGTTTCCTTCGATGTCACAAACACCCGAGCGTAGACGACGTCACCGCGCTAGTCGGACGTCCGTAGTGCCGTAGTGAAAATGACCCGCAACCTCAGTCCCGCCAGAACGCCCCCCCCCCTCGGAAGGGTCAGCGCCGCTGTCGCTGGAACGGCCCCAGGAAGGGTTTATCTCGGACAGACGGGGCCTCGCGCCCACGCCATGGCTGTGTGCCGGGGCCCGGGGCCCGCGGTGCAGGCGCTGGCCTGCGTGCTGGCTGTCTGACTGCACGGACGTGCCTGGATCCCTGCCAAGCACCGTCCTTGCCTCCCCGCCAGGGGCCGGGTTGGGGCTCCCGTGCTCGTTCCTGTGTGCCGAGAGTCGGCTCCTTCCGAGCTCACGTGTGTCTACTCTATGAGACTGGAACTAGGAAAAATAAACCTTTGCCAAACCCTCCAGACCGCCGTGTTTGTGTCCGATTCTGTGGTTTCAGCAGCAGAAAAGTGCTCTGGTTAACCCGGCCCCTTCCAAGACCCGGCAGTGGGCAGACCGCCAGAGCGGGTCCCGGCCCGGCACGGCTCCTGGTCGGGACGAGCGCGGCTGCTCGGCCTGAGGCAGGAGGGGGGCCAGCAGTGGGCGGTGCCGGGCTGTGGGCTCACCACTGCTGGCGACCTGTGGACACTCCGAGCAGGGTGCCACACGCACTTTCTCCGGGGGCCACGTTGGCCTCGCGGTTGCCTCCAAGGGGCTGAAATAACTTCAGGACCGTGTAAACGTAACTGCTCCGTAACCGTTCAGGAGTTCACACCACATTGGGCCCTTGGAAGGCCATGGCGAGGCTGACATGGCCCCGGAGAGCGCGTGTGGCACCCTGCTCCGGAGTCAGACGGCGAGCCTGGTCCTGCGCTGGCTCGCAGCAGCCCCGCCCCCCCAAGGTGCGCGTCTGACTCCGCACGCGAACTGCGCTCGTCGGCCCGGTGTAGTCTGTCGGCCTGGAGAACCTGCACTCTCCAAGTAAAGCGGAGCCCAGTGCCCTCACTCAGCAGGGGAAACCCACAGAGCAGCGTGCAGGCACAGATAAAACGTCTCCAACTTTGCCCAAGGGAAAGGGGACACTCCGGAAAACAGCAGTGCAGTCCTGGCTGGTGCGGCTCAGCGGACTGAGCGCCGGCCTGCGAGCCGACAGGAGGCCGGTTCCCCTCTCGGGGCACGTCCCGGGCTGTGCGCCAGGCCCCAGGAGGGGGCGCGCAGGAGGCAACCCGTCACTGACGCTTCTCTCGCTCATTGATGTTTCTCTCCTTCCTCCCTCCCTCCCTCCCTCTCTCCCAATAAACAAAAACCTTTAAAATAAAGGATACAAACGAGAAATAATTTCAGGTCTCAAAACTGCAGGACTGTCTCCAACGGTATGAGAAAAAGGCCGAACTGGAGCCAAGCACAGCGGGGAACAGCACAGGGAGAAACTCCTCGAGGTCTTCCCCAGTGCGACCCTCTCACGGGGCCCGCCGCCGGGGCCGGGCTGGGGGAGCGCCGCAGCGCCGGGCCCGTCTGACCCCAGTGGGGCCGCCCCCCCCCGCACAGGGACACACGCACGGCCCTTACCTGCTGCTCCGTCCCCTCCGTGGCGCGGAAGGCGGTCTTTCCTCTTGGCGGGAAATGCGTTTCAAAGGACGGGTGAAAGCGCTGCTGGCACACGCCGCGCACCGTGGCACATGAAAACCTTACTGAACCCCCGGTCCGAGCAGGGGAAGCACACGCAGGGACCGCCCTCCTCCTAGGCACCGGCGCCGACGCTCCCACAGCCGCGGTCTGTGGACCGAGTCACCACCGGTGCGCGCTCTTTACGACGACGTGCTTCTAGCTTCTCCCTTTCCAACCGGACGCGAACCCACGGGGTGCTGCCAGCGATTCGGGGTGAGGAGTGACCGGCACCTGCGTCTCTGTCACCAGCCAGGGAAACGCGGCTCCTCCCCCGGACTCTGACTGGCGGGGGCCCGGGTGCGGGTGGGGGGCAGCGCGGCCCCAGCACTGCGTGCGGCTGCAGCCTGTGGCTGTCTTGGGAGTGCGGCGGCGCCCCGCCCCCTAAACAGTGGGGCCGTCTGGCCGCCGTGAAGCGCAGCCCGGACGCAGCGTGCACACACGCACGTGCACGCACACGCAGACACACGTGGCGGGGACGGCCCGCCCCTCCGTGCAGCGGGGTCCGCTCAGCCCCTCGCCGCGCGCGTTCTCAGCGTCGCGGGTTCAGGCGCCGCCGGAGTCCTTACCTGGGGCGTCGGACGTGCGAGTCCCACAGAAGCGAGCAGCCGGGAGTCCGGGGACGGCGCGCCCAGCGCCGCGCAGGCCCCCACCCGGCCCCCGAAAGGCGAGGGCCCGGCTCTCGTGAGGCGCGACTCCGGGAAACTCCAGCGCGCGTGCGCGAAGGAAGAGGCGACGCGGAGGCTTGGATAAAAACATTTTGGATAGTGCGTTGCCTTTATTAGGGGCCGCACCGGAAGGTGCGCTGGGAGATGCAGGTGGGTGGGGGTCAAGCTGCCTGAGCCTGCTCGGCCGGTGGCCCCGCCAGCCAGCAGAGGGACGGGAGACGTGGGACGCATGTCCTGCTGGGTGTCACCTTCTGGTCTATAAACTGGGAAGGACGGCTCAGATGTCAATAAATATGTTTATCGTGGGTCATGGCCTCCGTGAGCTCTGTCCGCCAGCCCGCCCCGAGGGCGCTCCACGTGCCGCGGCTCCTGTGGTCCCGGGTGGCGTGGCTCCCGTCTGGGCAGGGAACAGGGTGTGCACGCCTGCGCCCCACCGACAGGAAGGACGCCCCTCCCCCGGCAGACACCGCCGGCTCAGCCGCGCAGCCGAGATGCCGTCCGCGCCCTTCCTAGTTGACCTTGTCCTGAAATATGTACAGGTTGTTGGTGGCGGCCACGGCGATGATGTTGTCGGCGGGGTGCCAGGCCGTGTGCAGGATCTTCTTGTTGAAGTCCAGGCTGTCCACGCTGATCTCGTCCTTCCTCCTCTTCCCGCCGGGGCACACGCGCCGCGGCTTCAGGCTGGCGCGAGGCCTGCTGCTCTCTCGGGAGGCCTCCAGGGTCACATCCCTCCGCGTGTTTCTGTCAAACATCCGGAAGAAGTTGTTGTAGGAGCCCGTCATGATCGCGCTGTTCAAACAGAGAGAGAAGCACGTGAGCCGCAGCACTCAGCGCCACGCCAGCACGGGCCGAGCCTCACGGCCGCCTCCGGGCAGCCCCGCGCGGCCCCATGGACCGCGTCCTGGGAGGGAGACGGGGAAGGTCAGGAGAGCAGCGCACGGGGAAGGTCCTACTGAACTTCCTGTGCTTACAATCACGTCAGGGAAAACAAGCGTCACAGAATAAAAACGCAACGGGTTCACACTAACCCCCCGCACCAAACAGCCCTCCGCGTGGCGTCTGTCCCGGCCGAGGAAGCCAGGTCAACTCGTCTTCAAGCCCGCACCCCTGTCCTGCGTCGGTGGCTGAGAGCCGACACCCCTGTCCACGGGCGGCCGACGTCCGCCCGGCCTGTCACTGTGCCCTCACGTGCAGGGCATCGACGAGCGCCCTTAGAAATCGTCAGTCCAGAACGTGTTAGTTCACGTGCGGCAACAAGCAACTGGGGCTGGAGAAGCCCCTGGAGAGGAGTGGGGAGACGGCCTCGGTCCACGGCGCCCACACTCGCCCCGGAGAAGCCTCTGCCCCCTCCAGAGCGGGGGAGCAGGGCCCCGAGGGGCAGCAGCTGCCACCACGGCGTGAGCCCAGGCTCCAGAGCGAGCCCGGCCCTGCTCGGACGTGCAGGCCACACGGTCCGCTGTCTCCCGGCCGAAAGCCCACGGTCTCGGCCAGGCCTCCCCGTCGTCCTCCCGTCCCCGACCGTCCAGGCACTGTGAGAGGGAAGCCTGGGGGTTCACTTCCTTGGCCCCAGGCCGGCCCGGGCTGCGGGCGAACACGTTCATGTCTGCTTGGCCTCGTCGGCGCTGGCGCCCCCCTCACCCCGCCCCCGTGGGGGCTGCTCCCTGTGAGCTCGGCTGAGTGTGGGAAGCGTGGGGAGTGCCAACGCAGCGTGTCTGGTGTTCCTGCCCAAGGGCTTTGCCAGTCCCTTTCTTCCGGAGCGCTCCGTGACACACAGCTCTCTGAAAGATGACGCAGGGTCACAGCCAGGCGTCGCTTGGAGAAGTGTCCACGTGATGCTGAAGACGTGGCTCAGTAGTGCCATCGTCGGTGAAGGACGGGCCCCGAACAGACTGTCCCATTACCAGTCGACTCAGGACGCCGCCACTCTACATCCAAGCACAACCGCCTGGGGCCCCGCCGCTCCCCAGCAGGAGAGGGACACTGAGCGGTGGCCACCCACACCCTCGCTGGGGCGGGACCCCCCGCTGCCCTCCCCTTCACTCGGCTGGGAGGGCGCAGGAGATGAGAAATCCCGTCTGCTGAGCATTAGGACACTTTCAGCAGGAGCCCAGCGCTGCGCTCACTGTCCACACCCTGCAGGAGCCAGGGCCAAGGGACAGTCGCTCAGGTGTCCCGCTGTCCCCCGAGACTGTCCCCCCACACAGACGGTCTGGAAAGCCAAGCCCACCGGCGCCCCCCCTGCAGCCCACCCAGCCCTGTCTCTGGACTTGGCGGTCAGGCCCGATGTGGCTCACCTGTCTGGGCCGTTCCAGCAGCACTCGAACTTGTCGAAGATGCAGTCGTTCTCGTACAGAGAGCACAGCTTGCTCCGCAGGTACTCGTGCACCTTCGCGAGACCACAGGGTGGTTAGGGCGCGTCAGGCGTGAGGGTGGCGTGTCCCCGCGCAGCAGCCTCACCTGGTGGGTCTCCACGGGCCGGCTCTCCATGTTGAGGTCCCAGACCTTCACCGACAGGTAGTCCCGGGTCATCATGTACCGGCCGCTGTGACTGAACTTCACGTCGGAGATGGAGGAGATGATCTCTGAGAAGAAAGACCGACTGCTCGGATCCTCAGGTTCTTCGAAAACTGAAAAACACAAGGTTTTGGCTTCTGTTCAGAAACCAGACAACTGGCCGATCCAACACCCTGCAGGACGGGCCGGCTCCAGCCCCCCACACGCTCCTGGTCTTCGTTGCACCTGTGATGTTCGGACAGGACGCTCCGGCGCCAGCGAGCGACCAGGGCCCGTCCCACCCAAACTCGGAGCAGTGCCTCTGTGGGCAGGGCCTCCACTGTCACCTGGAAGAGCTCCTGGGCCACGCTGGCGTGGGGCCTGGTTAACAAGGAGCCTGTGCTGACCGGCGGCCGTCATCGCACAGATGCCTGTGTGTCCTCGTGGCGCCAGGCCCTGGCCAACGAGCGCAGCCTGTCCCTCTCGTCAGAAGGCAGGGGTGGCACCCTACGAAACGCAGGCGCTGAGTGCAGGGCTGCTGAGGACACGCCCCACCCTCGGCTGAGTGACCCCAACCGCCACCTGGGCACCTGTAGTCCCGCTTCGACGGCCCGCCGGGCCCGTCTGCTGTGAGGCGTGTGCTCACTACTCAAGGGGCAGGGCCTACTGTGGCCGGGTGGGGCCACCACTCTCAGGAAGAGCCTCATGCCCCTAGGCTGACCTGCCCGCCTCCCAGTTCTCTCTCAGTGGTCAGTCCGTGGCCTCCCCCTGCACCATCGTGGAGGCCACGCCCGCCCCCGAGCCCTGGGCACTGCCGGCCTGCAGCTCTGCCAGCCTGGGGCAAGGAGGTCCACACAGCCTTTCGTTGTAAGCTGCTTAAAAAAAAGGAGGCTGTCTGTCTGTCTGTGGGCTCTGTGTGTGACGTCCACTGTAAACAAGCTGGCGGCCACACCGAGCACTCGTTCGAAAGGCCGCCGACAAAACTGCTCACTGAGGCTGCTCGCTCCAGAGGGTGGCGAGGATGGGCCTCCAGGACGCAGCGCCCCCCCCCCCAGGGCCCTCTGCGGGGAGCAGAGCCCTTCTGCACACGCTGCCTCGGGGTTAGAGTGCAGGGCAGGGGCCCGAGCACGCCGATGCCAGCCCCCGCTGGCATGCCTGGGAGGGCGCCCTCCAGCGCTGGCCAGCAGTCTCCACAACAACGCTGCCTCCCCCCCGCCCCGCCCCAGGTTTCTAGAAAGTCGAGCCCACCGATGAGTGAAACTGAAACGGAACCACAACTTCCTCACTGGGACGAAAGCCACTCGCGGGGTCAGAGCTCCCCCCATCCCCAGGCCCGGCCGCTCCTGTGTGCGCACACCGCCCGGCGCCCGACAGGGGGCGCCGACGAGCCGCCTGCAGCGGGCGGGCACTTACACTTGGCGTGCCGGTCGCACAGGGCGGCGGCGCGCATGTCGCAGAGGCGGACGGTGCCCTTGCTGCTGCTGTACACGAACACGTTGCACTGGAGCGGGTGCAGCTCCGCCGCCGTGATCACCTCCGTCAGCTCCTCCATGTTGGCGGGCTTGATGTCCACGATGTCTGGGCGCGCGGTTAAGGCGGGAGCCGGGCGGCGTCAGCCCGTCCACCCGCAACCCCACAGCGAGGACCAGAGTTGGCCGCGGCCCCGGCACGCGAGCCTCCGTCGCACACGCACACTCACGCTCGTCAGGGCTGCCCTCCCGCGGCTGCGGCCGTCCTGCGGGCCCCCGCACAGACCACACAGACTTAGGGACGGCCGTGAGACGTGCAAGCAAGCGCCCACCTGCGCCCAAACGCCCTCCTCTGCCCGAGAGTGACCACGCACGACCACGCCCAAACTCCAAGAGGCCCTGCCGCCCCCACCTGCGCCAAGCGAGTGGGCCGGTGCTTCCCGTGCCCGCAGACGCGCGAGGCTGCTCCGCGGTCTCTGTCACGGGGAAGGCGCGTGCCCGAGTCCTCACGGCCCGCCAAGGCGGATGGCGTGTCCGACGGGAGCGGCGACCACGGGCAGTGACAGGGCACTCACTAACACGGGGTCAGGTCCCCGGGAACCACAGCTCCCACGAGCGGCACGTGAGTGAAGGACCCGTGCACGGGGACCCCCGCCGTCACGGATCTGCGTGCCGCTCACATGTGGAGACGGCCACAACACGTGGAGCCAAACGAGGCGTGAGGCAGGGGCGCCGCTCCACCCCGGGCTGGCGGCTGTGCCCACCGTCTCCCTGCTTTCAGCGTGACCCACGAGGCCGCCCGGGAGCCTCAGCTCCGCACAGGAGGGAGGGCCTCCCGACCCCCGGGCACTGGAGTGCCGCGTCGCCACGTCGAGGGCGGGCTGGCGTCTTCAAAAGGCGAGGCTCCGCACCACGGGCCGGCTGGGGCGCCGCGCCCCCTTCCTCTGTAACCCCTCGTTGTGTTCAGAGGAAAGAGGGAGTGAACCCGGTGGGTTTGCAGGAGAATACGGAGAATGCGGGGCGTGGCCGTGAACGTAGGAACCCTCATTTGGGAGGTGCTGTCTCGTCGGAGAAAGGAGAGGACAGGAGTCAGACGCGCTGTCCCTACGCTGGGGGTGGGACAGACGGGGCCTCCCCGACCGCAGCGCCAGAGGCCGCAGCACCGTGGCAGCGTCCGCACGAACCCTGTCACCAAATCACGCAACGGACGGCCACGGACGTAAGTTCTGTGCGGAGCGCCAGAGCTCAGAGTCGCACACACCTCGTCTCACGAGGCTCTCGTAACAGACCCGACACGCACACGCCGGACCGGCCGGACAGCGCCCCGAAGTGTGGGAACTCTGATGGACGCTGCCTGACGCGCACGTTTCACAGGCCCCTCATTTTCTGGAGGAATCAGTAACTTTTGAAAGGTGTGACTAGCCCGTAATATTTAGATTTTCACCCTAAAAAAACAGCCCATGTCACTTAAAAGATTAATTTTTGATTATTCCTTAAACAGTGTCTTCTAAAATAGAATTCGCCCACCATCTGTCACTTCTTGGGTTGGGTAATTAAATGTCTTTCTAACCAAGAGCAGCATCTTCTATTAGCAAATTTAGCCAAATTAAAAAAAGAAAAAGGCAACTCTGACCTTTCAGTGTGAGCTACTTAAAGCTGCCCCCTGTTCACCCGGGAAGGCAACGGACCGCGGCTCTGCCCATCAGAGGGAGATGCCTCCGCAGGCGAGCTGCGTGTCCAGGGACACCCATCCCAGGCCGTAGGCAGCCAGGACAGGAGGGGCCAGTGCTGAGAGCTCCCCGTCGGAGGACCAGCCAGGGAAGGGGAGACCCGCCCAGCGAAGGATACTGAAGCTTCTATCTGTGATCTCCAGATGCCACAGATTAATCCTCAGGTCATCTGCAGAAAGATACGTTTCATGATCACTGTTTACGGAAATAGAGTTTATGTGGTATGTATGAGCATTTGCAAAAATTCGTCGTGGACTTGCTTCTACCATGAGGTCCATGGGCTTCAATATTGGGACCTAAAAACGGAAGAAACAGCAATTCAAAACAAGATCACAGTAGCACGTAATTAGAACACGCAGGTAACAACAGGGACATGCCTCCATTCACAGGTGAGTGACAGTTCTGTGCAGGTAATGCCCAAGCTGCTCCTCCTGGCTGCTACTACACCACGGCTGCCAGTTTCTTGGGGAAGAGAAGGTTACACCGGCACTTGAACGAGCTGCCTCCATCGGTGGCCTGCTGGCCACCACACAGGGTGAGCTGTGGAGGGTGCGGGGCTGGAGGAGAGCACGGGAGGGGCCCTGGGAGCAGGGGGTCGGGGTGCCTCTGCTCAGCCCGGCCCCGGCTGCTCTTGTGTTCACGGGGCTGCTCGCTCAGGTGGCAGGGGCGTTTACTGACACGGCACCTCCGGGACGGGCAGCCGAGGGCAGGGCGGGCTTTGCGGGGAACAGGACACCCACACAGAAGTGGGGCCAGGGAAAGAGCTCACGAGGATGAGAGCAAGGGCCACTGCACAATTGTGCACCACAGCGTCCACATGAGACAAGAAAAGGTCCAACATCGCTGACATTTAGCAGAAAAGAAGGAACTGTAAAGTCAAAATAAAATACTAATGACCATATCCTTTTTGTAATTAAAAACCAAAGGGAGTGCCTAAAAAAAGACCAGGAGGAAATCTCTCGATTTAATCTTCTCTGAGCAAAATTACCGGGGAAATGAGCACAGAAAGATTGCCCTCACGTTACACCAGGGAGGTGCTGGCCGCACGCCTGCGCCCCCTAGAGGAAGCGGTGTCGGCCCATGCGGTCTGGGATGGCCGGGCGAGCCCTCCAACACGTCCGTGCCTGGTGGGAACACAGGCGACCTGACACTCCCTTAGCCGGCCCCCTTTCCCGACCTCCAGTGACGTGAGAGGAACACAGAACTTAAGAAGAGCGGCCGTCCGCACTCTCACCCCGCTGAGTTGAGACACCCGGAGCCCACTCTGAACCTCTCGAGAGGTGACTGGAGCTCAGACGCAGGCCTGCACTGACTGCTAGGTCAAGGTGGTTGCCCCACCAGTGGCCTGCCCTCACCCTGTCGTAAACAAGAGCAGCTCCTTCTCTCACGCTTCCCGGACCCCCAGCCCCACTGCTCTGTTCCAGCCCAACACCTGAAAGCAGCCTGGAACTAAACCCAGGTGGGGCCTTCCAAACACAGGCCTGTAGGGGGCCCACGGGGTGCGCAGGTATGGGGTCCTGAGAGGACAGAGTGCTCGGGCGGGTGGCAGCACTGGGGACAGGCTGGGGCAGGAGAAAGGGCACCCCGCAGGGCCCCACCCCGCTCCCCTCCGTTACGCTGGGCAGTCTGTGGGAGTGGCTACGCTGGGTGGCTACAGCCCTGTGTCAGCGTCACTAACAGACCCTCCACACCACCGTGAGTCCTGGGCACGGGAGCGGCAGCACAGGGAGACAGGTCACCCAGCATGCTTCCAGTCAGGGTTCCACAAGCCCCGTCTGAACATGTCACACAGCTTTCTGGTCCCGACGCCCTAGGAACAGGGCGACCCCACGGACCCCAGAGGCCTCACGATGACCGTCCCACCCTGCACGCCTCCTTGGCTGCCCTCCCACGACCCCACCCTGGGGGTCATGAAGCTGCGGCCCTGCGGCTCCATCCTGTGCGCCCGCCACCCGAGCACCCCGCGTGCACCTAGTGCAGGAGAGCCGCGGGCGGGCACGGCAAAGGCACGGCACAGGCACGCACAGGCCCAGCATCACTGCAGCGGGGCCCTCCTGCACAGCCCCGGCTGCCCTTCTGAGTGTGGGCGCCACCCAGCCCTCGCCTACGAGCACCCCAGCAGGCCTCCACACCCGGCGGCAGCTCTGGGCCAGGGGCCCTCTGCGGGCCACGGGGCCGGTCTTCCTGTGGCCGGCCTGTCCACAGCGGCGTTTCCTGGACCACAGGCCTGGCCGCCACGCAGGTGGGGCACCTCCCTCACATTTACAGCACCATCCATGGCGTGCAGCGCCAGGCCAACTACAAGACTAAAATTTCAAGTTTTACTCAATTTCATCAATGTTAAAAACGTGAAAAGAACCTAGGTATCAGAATTGATGAAATATGGCTACTTCACGCTGTGCCCAGGGACACCACGAAGGGAGTGGAGAACTCAACAGTTTAAAAGCATGACGGTGCCCCTGGGCCAGGGCTCTGAGGCACGAGGCCCCGTCGGGGGCCCGTGGCTCCTCCTTCCGCCTGCCATCTGCGCTCCGCCCCCCGGGGAGGCTCCGGAACTCCCTGGCCGTCACCCCCCAAGGCGCTGCTCTGAGCCTACGCAGGGAGGGGAGGCGACACACTGAGACAGACCCCTGTCGGGGTTCCGTGGGAGTCTCCTCCTCCCGAGGTGCTCTGTCTCCCGAAGAGGGAGTGTGGCTGGTGCTCACACATGCACATGCGACGGCTGTGGTGTCACACGGGCCGTCCCGGATCCCGGAGGCGGGGCACGGCTGACGGGGCACTGCTCGCGGTCCCTCCACGGGAAGACCCGACAGCGTAAAGAAGATGGGATGTGTACCCGCAGTGCTGTGATTCTAAACGGGTCTCGAAGTCGTCCGTCTTCATCTTTCAAGTTATAACCTTCTGCTCTTTTATCCCGTTCACTTATTTTCCATAATTTAATAGTTTTATCTGAAAACAAAAACCCCATTCTCCACGTTAGAGGAAGAACCACACCCTGCCCCGCTCTCGGGGACCTCTCTCAGAACGCTCTGTGTGCTTCTGGCTCTGGGCGGAGCCTTGTCTCCCGTAGGGGCCGCGCCGTCAGAGCTGACCACAGGGGGGCGCTCCCCCCACACGCGAGGACTTGCTTTCCCTTCTGTGGGTGGGAGCTATGGGGGAGAGTGTGTGTGTGTTTGTGGACTTTGGTTTTCAAACTATCACTTGCTTCCTAGTGAATAATTACCCTCCCCCCCAAAGGTTAAAGCAGAAATAACTTCTGGAACGGGTTAAAATAAAAAAGAACCTACACACAGAAAATCAAAACCCTAAAGCAAACAGCCATTGAAATCAAAAGCTCTTACCATTTGTAGAAAGTAGAAAATGAGCAGCATTCTGTTGTGGTAACCACCTAATTTTATTAATTTTTTCCTCAATTTCTAGACTTTTCAAATAGTCAAACTCTGGTTCATGACTTTGAAAGGTACTGTAAACATTATATTCTCCCCTAGAATGAGGACGGCTTTTGTTCTGCAAGGAAACAGGAAGCTGTTTTAATGAACAAGCACATCGCAGGAGAAGTGTCAGCACTGCCAACACCAACGTCAAACGACCCCTCCCAGTCTTGAGAGTTAAAGAAACCCTGGGTTAACCAGCGGCCCAGCAGATAGCACTCAGAACCGAGCTCCCATGTAAGTGCAGCAGCAAGGAAGACGGCGCCCGCCCCTCTGTCGGGGGCAGGGTTCTGGAACCGCCAGGCCCTCACTGCAGGACTGGGTCTGGCTGCTGCCCCCACCCTGGGACCGGGGTGGGGGAGCAGCGGCAGGAGCAGGGCCACAGAGGTGACCGGGCAGAGTCTGCTCGCTGCAAGGAGGGGCCCAGCCCTCAGCTAGAGGAGCCTGCCAGCCCCGAGGCTCCGCCCACAGGGGTGGGGTCTGCTCAAGGGCGGGCCACTCCCGGAGCATGGCTCCGCAGCTGCAGCAGACGAACTGGCACAGGAAGCCCCTCGCCCAGAGACCCGTCACAGGAGACCTCTCATGCCAATCTTCAGCGCACAGAACAACTCCGTCTGCTGGAGCGCAAGCAGAAAGCCAGGCTCGGGAAGATGCATGCTGTCACCAAAATAGTATCGCCCAGTTCTGGGAGGCAGACCACTGAGCTCGGTTTCATGGTTTCGTGGAAGGGGAGGAGGGAATGGGGGGGCACAGCAGCAGCTTCACCCACACAGCGAGGGCTCTCTTTCCCTTCCATAGACAAAATCTGGGTGGTGGGGTCACACGCACAGTTACATTCCTCTCTGAAATCTTCGCTTACGGCCAATGGTACTATTTGCTATACATGTTAAACACTCATGATTAAAAACGAAGGAGACCGGTGTTTTGTTACTTCCTGCTCTGGAGGGAGCGTCTAAAATAGTCTCCTCTTCAGGCGTCTACATGTGCGCTCACTGCGCCGTGCACCTGAGACCGACGGACCCTGCAGTCACGCTGACCGCCACTGAAGGCTGACCAGGCGGGCCTTTGTGTGCGGACAGGCGCCTCTCTGTGTTAGATCGCGCGTCGTCAGAAACCACCCCCCAGGCTACGTGCGCACGTCTCCAGCGCCCGGCCCTGCGTGTGCTGTGTCTGCCAGGGAGCCGCCCTCGGTCCGCAGGGCCAGGACACCTCTAGCCCTCGACTCCCGCCCTCTGCTGGGTCAGGCAGTGCCCTCTGGGCGGCAGCTTCCTCTTCACCACCCCCACCTCTCCACGAAGACGCAGACCCCAGCCGGCACTTCCACCTCGCACACGAGGACGACGGGACCGACGCAGTGAAAGGAAACCTGCAGAGTCCATCAGTCCCGAGCCTCAAGACGTCGGTCTGCTAAGAGAAACGGTGGAACGTGCACGAGAAGTGAGGCGCCCGTGGTCCCAGTGCCGCCAGCACTTCCTGGCCACGCCCTCCCAGCACAGGGCCCGGAGTGGCGAGTGGCCCTCCTGCCCGGACTGGGAGAGGCGAGGGCAGGGATGGTGACAGGAAGGGGCTCTGTGGGGACTGGATTCTGAGCAGGCTGAGCAGAGCCTGGCAACAGATCACCCGGAGATGATTCTGGAAAAAAGAGTCTATATGGTTAAAGTGATGTCACAGATGGAGGACAGAACAGTGCTTCTCTCCTCATCCGTGATCTGAGAAGGTTTACTCACTTCACTGGGTGTGTGGGCTGTAAATTACTGACCTCTTGTTCCCGCTGAAAAATAACAACTCTGCCACCCTTGTCTCCTGTTGCAAGAAGATCTCCAGAGTAATTAAATTCAACAGTTGAGATGATGTCAGCTGTCAATAAAATAGAGAAGCAATTAACCAGGTTATGGTTGTGAGAGACATCAAAGTGAGTATCAAAAATCAGCAAGAAAAAGTCAAAAGATAAGCACATACAAAATTTTCTCCCTGGATAAAGTCGAGTTTTCGTGGGACACGTGGAATTACCAGGCAGCCCCCCCTTGGTTCTGGGTCCCGGAACCAATGGGCGCACAGGGGTTTGCGGGTTTTGCTCACGCGGCCTGTGCACCAGGATCGACCTAGACCAGGCTGTCTGCACGTAAGGACAGAGCGAGAAAGCTAGGAAATAAAGACTGAAAAGAAAAAACTGGTCCTAGGAGACGGCTGCCTAATTTATAACGCATGCCTTGAGTTAGCCTTTAAGATAAACAGGACCGCTACGACACAGTAACAGAAGCACTGTGGTTTCCACGCAGTAACTTGGCTGGCTCCTGCACAGAAGGGCACTGCAGACAGTACGGGTTCCGTCCCACTGTCTGGGTCAAGTCACCGGGCTGACAGTGACAACATCACTGCCCAGTGGGACACTGGTGGGCGGATACCTGAGACTTCTGACTCCATCAACACACAACCCACTCCCTAGGGGACGCAGAGAACAGAGCCAAGTGCTGGACACGCCCTGAGGTGTCCTAAGGACCAGATCAGAATTTATGGCGGCACAGACACTGGATAAAAAAAACAAAAACAAAAAACACGCACCACCCCTACTCCGAGGAAACAGCGCTGCACCTGAGCTCCTGCCCCAGGGCCCACGGAACCATGACCCTCATGTGGTGTGGTCTCCCCAGGGGCTGCGACCTCTGTCACCTCTCTGGCTGCTCTGGGGAAGGCCTAGTTCACTTCAAAGGGTCCCTGCTGGCTGCTGGGGCACCAGTGCAAAGGGTGCGTCCACCAGCAAATGACACTGGCCTGAGGGGCCCCAGGGCCACTGAAGTCTGTGGCTGAAAGGCTATCACCCACGATGTCTGCACTAATCAGAAACAGACCCCAACACTGAAACTACTTGAAGAGCCCCCCACAAAGTAGTGACACTATAATACAATTCTTAAAGGTATGCACAAACACTTTCATCAAAGAATTATAAAGTGATTTCTTATTGCACTACCACCATATACCAACTTTAAAAAACATACTGAATTCTATTGCCTGGGCTTTCTTTTTTCTTTTTTCAGTTGGTAAAAATGTGCTTCCCTGATTTATTCATTATTTTTTATTTATATATTCATTATTTAGCTTGAGATAGTATGGATTTCTTTTTTCTTAAAAAAAAAAGACTTGGGAAAAGGATGAGGCTTCTTGTTAGAAGTGTCAGTTTTTAAACTAAATTACTCAATATAATCTATTCTGCCTAAATGAAACCGAAATTCTGCACTGGACTAAAAGGGCCAAAATCCATGTCATTTTTCCCAGGGGTGCACCCTATTTTGTAATTAACGGTATCCTGGCTGTCAGCGACTGTCAAGCCTAATGAAAACAGACTGACTCTTTTAAAAGAAAAAATCCCGTGATGGTCGGGGTGAGGAATTATTTTCATTAAGCTGTGTAATACATATAAACCTGAAAACAGAAACATCTTCTATAGTTTAGAAGAGCTCTGAAATAAAAATAAATATGCAAACTAAACACTAGCGGGATTACAAAACCAGTAAAACTGAAGTTGCCATCATGAGTCTACCGCGGTGACACTCCTTCACGAGACCAGGCTGGCGCTAACAGCAGAAGTCCGCAGTGACCGCGGGCACCGGGCTGGCACCTGAGAGCACCCCGCCCCGGACCCCTCTGTGTGGCCCTGCAGAGTGAGGCTGCCGGGAGACGCGCAAGTAGCCCACCCTGGGGCTGGTGGACACGCCTGTGCGCCACGCCTGGTGGACACGGAACGAGCACAGCGCGCTCGGCGGCCCTGCGAGTCCGCTCACACTCTGAGGCGGCGCGGCGGACAGTGGACAGCAGACAGCGGACGGCGGATGGCGTGCTGCTGTGCATGTCCGCTCCCTCCCACCACACCGAGGCGGCAGCAGGAAAGCAAAGGGGCCCTGCTCACAGGGGCCCTGCTCACAAGGAGTGGGGCTGGAGGGGCGGGGTGGGGCTGCACGGGCAGGGACTGGCCGAATCTGTTCGACTGCTGGGCCCCATGCTTGCCCCCGCCCCCCCGGCAGGTGGAGCACAGGGCTAATCCAGCTCTTGCGCCCCAAATGCTGACCGCCAGAAGGGGATTGCTTTCCTCCGTTCCCAGGGTTCCGCTCCCAAATGACAAAGCCCGGAGAGAAGCCACGAAGGGTCAAACCCACAGGGTCCCTAAAGAAATGACCCGCCAGGCAGGCGGCCG